GAAATTTCTCTTCTCCCTAGATTGACCATCCGCCTTTGACATGCTTCGTCTCCAAATGGAGTCTATTTATCCACCCCATCAATCTGGGCTCACCCAGAAACTTGTGTAGACCAACAGAATGCCTCAAGAGTGATGTTAAACACGTTGAGGAGTCTCAACCCAATTTTAACTTAAAACTTACCCCAATTTTAACTTATAATAGTCCTATTATATAGATTTTCTGAGGCTGCCAATCTTCATGGGTACAAATTGCTGCATCATCTTCAGGGGGACCAGCTGATGCGTTTGAATCGATCACCTTGTGATTAGAAATCCAACATTTACCTGAGTGTATCACCAGGGCTCTTAGGAGCCCAGGAGGTCTCAGCAAGTCTTAGGCGTTTGGGCTTCGGCTAGCTTAGCATGCTAGTCAGAAAAGCAATCAGGTAAGACCTAGTGTAGTGAGAGAGACCCAGCTCTATGAATTGCCGCCTAGGATCACAGCCCCCAAATGACGCGTTAGCTTGATACCAGGCTTGCCTGCTAGGAAACTACAAATCAACTCAGAGAATTCTGAGAATGATCTAGCATTACTATCTTGGGGGTAAGGTTGTTACTGTAGAGTAATAAATAATGGCATTGGAGCCTAGAAAATGGTGTTCCCGCTTTGTTGTGCTTTGCTTTTTAACATTTTCAGAAAACCTAAGGTCAGCATTGGAAGAGATGTAAAGAAATCATTTTAGGTCTTTCTAGTTCAAGGGTTGATGAGGTTAACTGGAAAGTTGCCAATCACGATTTCTCATTCTCAACTCTGAAGTTCATTTGGTTTTAACTGGAAACACTTTGGCCAGCTGATGTGGAAAGAAATATCACAGAGCTAAATTTAGATTGAAGTCTAAGGTAACTTAACACTGAATTATAAATTTGACAGTTTGAGGGTTAAATAACCTTCAGAATTTTCTTTTCCAGGGAAACCGACAGCATTTGCTAAAATAGGCACTGGGGGTTTTCCCACCTAAGGTTCTAAAGGAAACTGTGTAATCAAATTCTCTTCAATGCTTTAATTAAAGTCGACTGCTAAGGCACAGTCCAGGTTTCTGGATTTCATGTGCTAATCCATGACAACATTGGCGAGTGTGCCTCAGTTCTCACATGCTTCAAAATAGGGCTTATTGATTTTTATTTATGTGCACTTCCTATGGTTTTAACCCCCACAGCAAAGAAACAAATATGTAAGCAAGCGCACGCACACATACACACGCACGCATGCACGCGCACGCACGCAAATCCGTGGCTGTCAGTTTGCATTCACAGCAACCCTGTAGGACAGAATCGAACTGTCCCAAAGGGTGCCAAGATTAGCAGTTGAGTACTTAACCCCTGTGCCATCGGGTGCCCTCTCTATATTTATATAATAACTGTAAGCCCATTTCCATTGAGAAAATTGAATGCATGGTTGTTTTCCCCCATTTACCTACTCATCACAATTCTGCAAGTATTTCATGAGACTGTATTAGCCTGGATTACTCCAACATTTCTATTATGAACTTTTCCTAAGGTGTCTCTAGTGAAGCTGGGAAAAAAATATTTGTATATGGGTTCAAATATAACATAAAAACCTGACTGTAAAGCCTACTGCTTTCCTGCCCAAGTTGCAGCCAGAGTTATATTCAGAGTTGCCATAGCAGCCACCCACCACCCACCCCCACACATGCACGTACACATACAAATGGGTGGTCAGGAAAGAAAAGAAGCAGTTAGCAGAGAAAGAATCTATTGTTAACAAGACAGCTGTACCCATCAAAGTAATTATAAGCAAGACTTGACTGTTCGTCTGAACTGCTGTTTAATGATAGATTTTTGAGTGTTTCTTAAATGTTGTTTTGTTTTTTTCTCTAAAGCATTCTACCTTCTGTACTCTTGGCTTTAACCTTCGTACAATGCTGAGGTTATGCTTCGGGAGGACATCCAGCCCCGCATGCAGTGGGCAGGGCTAACAGGATGTGGTATTTTCTCTCTGTGGAACATCTGGAATCATTGTAGTCGACGATATTTCTGATTTGATGGGCCTGAGAAAAAGTTACTACACTAAACAAGTGTCCTCATCTATAACATGGATGCAAGAGCAGTTAGCACCTACTTCAAAGAGTTGTTATAGGATTAAATTAATACAGTTACTCACTAGACACCAATTAATGATAAATAATAAATCATAAACTTGATTACTATACAAGAATTGGTCATTAAACAGAATTAAATACATTGAGAAAAGTCAAGTGCTTGGTATCTGAAGCCTAGTAAACATCTCCTAATATTAATATATGTAAGAGCTCGACCTTGTTGAGCTAGAATGTGTATTCCTAGTGTTCACCAGTTTGTCATCTTGGACTAGGTATAGTCAGTCCATGTTTCTCTCATTCATTCTGAGTGAGAAAAGTTTGTTTTTCTTCTCCACGGGTTTCAACCTCACACAGGTTCCAAGTTTCACAGGTTCTGACGCAATAGCATCTCTACATCTTTAAGTGGTGCAAACCATTAATGTGCTTGACTACTAACTGAGTCCGTCTGAGGCTTCCCAGAAGCGCCTCAGAAGGTCTGGAAAGTCGGCCACTGACAACCTCCTGGAGCAGAGCTTCCTTCTGACACGTGTGGGATAGCCATGGACTAGCTGCTTAGCAACACGCTTGTATTATCATGGAGAAGGTGCTAATTCCAAAGCCTGCAGGTAGTCGGCAAACCAGATGTCTATCACAACTGCTACTAAGATTCTCCCAGTGCAGGAAAGAGATGTCTTTGTCGATACTGTTACAATTCCTCGGAAAGCACTACTTGAGCAGAATATAAAGGACATTCACTGCCATTGCCAACCCTGGTTACACAGAAAAGGCTACTAACTATTCCTGTTGAAATGTTGATGCAGTAAGTCTTTGGGATAGAGTAATCTGGAATTTTGTCTCAGGTCAGTGGCTTGAGTAAGGAGGCTAAGATCTAAGGAGGCTTCAGAAAGTTCATATAAAAATTAAATTAAGAGACAATGGAATTTTCCCACACGCGTTTGAAGTCCACTTGTGTATTTCCATGCATATCTATATACAAATATCAGACAGATGTGTTGGCAATCGATGGGAAGTATGTTGTGATGTTTGATGCACTCAAGGTTTACATCTTCATTTTTAAGGCTAAGTGCTTCACATTCTGGCAGAGGTGAAACACACGGTCTCCCTGGCAACTTAGCCTACAACCATTAAGTCTGGATTGACTCCAGCACTCCCAATAGGGTTTCTGAGGCTTTGTATGTGTTTATAGGAGAGGCCAGACTCATTTTTCTCCCTTGGGATATTTGGTGGGTTTGAACCGCCGACTGTATGGTTAGCAATCCAAACTTGCCCAGCAGCACCACCAGGGCTCCTCAACATCCTTGTTGTTTTGCAGTTGTTAGGAGCTGTCAGTCAGTTCTGACTCATAGCGACCTTATGAACAACACAATGAAATACCACGTGGTCCTGCTCCATCCTCACAACTGTTCCTGTTTGAGGATTGTTGCAGCCACTGTCAACCCATGTTGTGAAGATTTTCCACTTGTTCTTTACTGTCCTGCTACTTTACCAAGCACGATGTCCTTCTCCAGGGACTGGTCTCTCCTGTAAACTTGTCCAAAATGTGGGAGACAGAGTCTCACCATCCCTCTGAGGAGCATTCCGGTGTACTTCTTACCAGGCAGGTGGGTTTGCTCTTTGGCAGTCCATGGTACTTCCCCGCGTCTTTGCCACACTGCCATTCAAATGTCCCGGTTCTTTTCCAGGCTTCCTTGTTCAGGGTCCAACTTTCCCAGGCATGTGAGGGGACTGCAGAATTTGTTGGGAGGGGCTGTCAAGTCAGCTCCAACACCATGAACCCATCCACAGCAGGAAAAACAATAGTAGATTTCTTCTCCTTAAAATCTCCTCTTTTCGTCAACTTTCCTTCCACACTCAACGTGGCATGCCGTAAGACATATTAACTTTAGTGACAATCTGACACAGTTACATTGGAAATATTTCCATGATCAAATCGTTCTTTGAGGGCAACAATAATCCTGATTTTTCTGAGTACTAGATATGATCAAATTTAATTCCAAGTCAACCCTAAGTTTTTAGGTTCTCTTTCTGAGGGGTTAGCACTCGGTACCCCTGGTACCACTAGGCAAGAGAAGCTAAAGAGTCCCTAGACCTCTGAACTTTATGCTAGTGCTCAAAGAACGGCTGCTGGGCACACTTGGCCAACGCCAGCACACAGGCAAGATATGCAGAGATTGGAGAAAAAGGCTAATGGCAAATGTTGGGGTCAAGAATCTTCTCTTCCTCATATGCGTTAATGCGTCAGCTGTGACCACTCCTGCTCCAGGCCTTCTGATCAGTGCAGTGGGGTCAGCTCATTATCACTAAAATTGTAGCACATGCTTGAGATCCAGAGGTCAAATCTGCCCAGAGGCATCTCCAAAGAATTGAAAACCTTATGAAGTATGGTTCTGCGCTACAGCACATGGGCCGCCAGGAGGGGGAAGTAAGCCCAGGGCAGTTGGCTTGATGGCATCAGCTGAGACAGTAAGATAATAAGGTGGCCAATCACAAAAGAACCTCCCAGATTGAGTGTCTCTTTCTCTATCCCCACCAGGGAGACGAGTGTAAGCAGCCCACTAAGAAGCCTGGGTAATTCTCCTAAGGGTGCCATTACAAGTTCATGTAACCGAACAGATATGTTTGCATTAAATCCTCCTTAATATAAAGATGAACATAGTCTCAAATAGAAATGCTAATGACTACATTTTCTAAGGCAACTAGCTATCCACATAAAATCTCACGAGGGCCTACAGACTTAATTTTACTCACAATACAAACAGTTAAGACTACCTTAAATGGCCTTCAAGAGGTGGCTACTGTGCTGTAAGTAACTGACATCGTGGCCGGGAAAAATCATTTGCACATTTGAAGAAATAACAAAAACACAGTGCAAGGCCATGCTACTTGATAATCCTTACTTACTGCCAGATACATAGCTGCGTAGACGCTGAGTGCAGCTTCTTTGGATGGGAAGGTTTTCCGCGCTCTCAGGACGAGATCCGGGTGGCCAGTGCAGGCCTCTTCATCACGGATGAACTGTGTAGACTGCTGACACCCGAGTGCGGTGTAGTTGGGCTTACACAGGGCAAGAAAGTGTGGAGCCAGGTTTCCTGTGACTACTTGGCCGGCATTCACAAAGATGTCGGTGGCAAAGAGTCCAAACGTATAGATTCCTGAGGAAGAAAACAAACCATTTTAACCCTTCACTAGTGGTATTTCTGCTTATCAAAAAACAAAACAGCAACATTTTAAAAGTGAGAAAGGATTTCCTACATACAAGCATGTATGTTTCCAGTTCACGCCTTCCTAGTTCGTTCCTTAGCTCTCTGGAGTGAGTGGTTGGAGTGCTCAATTATTTAACATATTAAGCTGGTTACATTTTATTTATGGCAGGTTTATGACATAAGATAAAAAAAGAAAATGCAGTCTAAGGCTGGGTTTAGGGACTGGAATTAGTAACATATAAATG